TCCCCTCCCTATACTGGCTGCACCACACAGCATGCGGGAACTTAGTTCCCCTACCAGGGATTGAACCCGTGCCCCCTGCAATGGAAGTGTGTAGTCTTAACCATTGGACCATCAGGGAAGTCCCCAAATAGGCACTTTAAAGTGGCTATTGGAGTCTTGCCCTTGACTCCAAGTCTGTCCATCATTCATGGAGGATTTCTAGATATTTTCACTGTATCCTACACGTTTCCTCCTCTAGACGGCAATGCTCCTATTCTCTTTTTTTCTGAAGACCATAGTGCTGCTTTCTAAAAGGTAAAACATTAGGAGGAGAAGTCAACAGGGACCAGATTAGGATGTAAGTTGCCTTGATATTTTTCACCACTCATGATCCCTTGAGAGGAGAGACAAAGAGATACCACTTTATGTGTATGACAGATCCTTCTAAACTGAGGTATGGTGTGATTTCCAGTGAGGTTTGGAAATAACTAAATCCATCAGCCTCCCTAGCCATATAGTCATAAACTCCTTTCTGCTCTCTCTTCTCACCTTGTAGTCCATCTTTCCTCCTCTGCACATATAGCCTCACCTTGGGCAACAGTATGTTCTCTCTTATCACCTACATGTTCCTCTCTCTCCCTCCCATTATGTTCTGTGTCTCCTCTTAAAATGGCCATAATATAAAACTAAATTCTCTTATTATTTGTCATGTCAAGTGAATGGAGTACTGAGCTATCCCTTATGGATTTAGAGTCACAGAACATTTCACAGGTTGCTAGGAGGGACAAGGCCATGTCTTGTTCCTACACCCCTACCTTCCTGGTTAGTGCTTTACACCTGTGTAATCTCTAGGAGAAAGAAGAAGAGCACACATGGGGCCCCACCAGAGCCTGTGATCAACAGACATCCCCATTTACCTGCTTACTGCAATATAAATTGTCCCTGAAACAAAAAGAAAATTTCCCTAAGACCATCCCAGAGAACTCCCTTGATTAATTTTTGTCGCTCACGCTGTAGGGCTCCCTGTAATCTTCTGGTGATTACATCTCACCAGCTGTCTACAATTCCAAAAGACAGCGTTCTTGCATTTATTCCACAAATGGTCATTGTTGTCTGCCACGCCCTGTGTTAGTCAGTAGAAAAGCAGTGGTGTTGTCACAAGGTCACAGACACACACCCCATGCACCGTGTGAGAAAACTTATAATCAGAAAAGTAGCAGAGGGCACACAATCCTCCTAGTTCTCATCTGCCTTCAGATGAGGCAAGCGTAGGCTGGGCAGAGTGATACTGAGCACACAATGCAGAGGGTTCCAGGAGAGGGACCCAGGCCCTGTTTCACTACACGTATTTATAGAGAAATGGAGACAAGAAACATCTAGTCCCTCACCACCGTATGTGGCACGTGAACCAGCAGCCTCATATCACCTGGCAGCTTATTAAAAATGCAGAGTCTTGGGCCCACCCCAGACCGGCTGAATCAGAACCTAAGTGATTTGGGGCTCATTAGAGTTTGAGAAGCTCTGATTTGGGCAACTACTTAATAATGGGAGCTTCCTGGATTAGGAAATGGCCTAGTTATATTATGGGAGCTTCCAAAGCTCAGTTGCTGATATCAGCCTGCTCTTCCATTGGGCAAACTCAGACCTGCTGAGCCAGCTTGTTGCTAAGTTTTCAAAATGAGAGAGGAAATGAGCTTCCAACCCCATTCAGATTTGTCTCTCCTCAAGAGGCAAACAGACAATCCCTGACCTTCAGGAGCTTGGAGGCTAGTAGGGAAGACAGATAGAGTCCAGAAAATTATAGACCAGGGCCATAGTGATACAGTCAGAGAAGCAGTGGGTGACGTGGGGCCATGTAGGATGGCACCTAACCTATTCCTGTGGAAGAAGGACAGTTTCCTATAGAAGATATAAGCTAAGCTGAGATCTTAAATGCTGACCAGGAGCCAGTGGGGCAGAGGAGGAGATGAAGGACCTTCTTCAGTCAAAAGCCCACTTGGGGGTTGGAAGTGAGACTGTTTTATTCTTTACTCTTTTTCCCTAGGTTTGTGGGACTGTGGGATTACCTTAGTCCCTGACAGCAGGGCTGATTTCTTTCTTGCCTTCATTTGGCATTGCCTGCCAAATGACTTGGCAGGTGTAGTACCTCTTCTCCCTTTTCTTTCACCCTCAGTAACACAGTAAAGACCAAAAGGACAGCTTATACCCTAGTAATATAGACCCTGAAGAGTCACACGCACACATACTTCAGGTGAAGGAAGTTTGGATGTAGCATGGAAAAGCGTCTCTCCAAAAGCTTGGATATCTAATTTTCATAAATCACACTTAATGAAGTTTAATATTCAAAGTAATTTACATTGGGAGCTCTAGCCCACTGCTTCCCAAACTTTTGCAAATCATGGTTCACATACAAAATGATCACATCTGTAGGGAACACTGGGGTAACGGATAATGCTGTTTGTGGTGGAAGATGACGAGCCTCAGGGTTGGCAGAATCCAGAGTGTGGGCTAAGGTGTTTGGGCTTGATGTTATAAGCAACAAAGAGCCACTGAAATAGAGCCATCCAGGTAACTAGGGGTATGAGAGAGATGGTGTATGCCACCGGGAGGTTCTGGAAAAGTTGGCAAGATACTGTTGGCAAGAGTTGAAAGGAGGGCTTCCCTGGTGGCGCAGTGGTTGAGTCTGCCTGCCGATGCAGGGGACACGGGTTCGTGCCCCGGTCTGGGAAGATCCCACATGCCGCGGAGCAGCTGGGCCCATGAGCCATGGCCGCTGAGCCTGCGCGTCCGGAGCCTGTGCTCTGCAACGGGAGAGGCCACAAC